GTGTCCCTGGGGGTGTCCCTGGGGGTGTCCCTGGGGGTGTCCCTGGGGGTGTCCCTGGGGGTGTCCCCGTTGTCCCCGGTGTCCCTGGGGGTGTCCCTGGGGGTGTCACCGTTGTCCCCTGTCCCTGGTGTCACCATTGTCCTGTGTCCCCGGTGTCCCTGGGGATGTCCTGTGGTGTCACTGGGGGTGTCCCCGGTGTCCCTGGGGATGTCCTGTGGTGTCACCGTTGTCCCCTGTCCCTGGGGGTGTCCCTGGGGGTGTCACTGAGGGTGTCCCTGGGGGTGTCCCTGGGGGTGTCACTGTTGTCTCCTGTCCCCGTCCCCAGTTCCGCCTGCGCCGTTCCGGGCTCCGCTGCCCCATTTACCTGCTGGAGGACCCGGGGGAGGGGGAGCCCCTGCCCCTCCCCCTGCCCACCCTGCGCCAGGCGGCCGCCAACACCCAGGTACGACCCCCCAAAAACGGGAATGACCCCCCAGGACCCCCAACACCCAGGTCACGACTTCAAAAACACAGGTGATCCCCCAGGACCCCAACACCCAGGTACGACTCCCAAAATGGGAATGAGCCTCCAGGACCCCCAACACCCAGGCACGACCCTCAAAAACGGGATGACCTCCAGGACCCCCCAACATCCAGGCACGACCCCAAAAACGGGGATGACCCCCAAAAATGGAATGACCCCCAGGACCCCCAACACCCAGGTACAACCCCCAAAAATGGGAATGACTCCCCAGGACCCCCCAACACCCAGGCACGACCCCCAAAAACGGAATGACCCCAGACCCCCAACACCCAGGCATGACCCCCAAACACAGGTGACCCTCTCAGGACCCCCAACACCCAGGTACGACCCCCAAAGATGGGAATGACCCCCAAAATGGAATGACCTTCCAGGACCCCCAACACCCAGGCACGACCCCCAAAAACACAGGTGACCTCCCAGGACCCCCAACACACAGGTACGACCCCCAAAAACGGGAATGGCCTCCCAGGACCCCAACACACAGGCATCGACCCCCAAAAACGGATGACCTCCCAGGACCCCAACACCCAGGCACGACCCCCAAAACGGGAATGACCCCCAAAAATGGAATGACTCCAGGACCCTCAACACCCAGGCACGACCCCAAAAACACAGGTGACTCCCAGACCCCCTAATACACAGGTACGACTCCCAAAAATGGAATGATCCTTCCTAGGACCCCCAACACCCAGGTTTGGGGGTCCCGTGGGGAATTAGGTCTCAGAGCCCCCTTTCCTTCTTCCCTCCCAGGTGGTGGACAGTGGGGTGGGGGGGTCCTGGGGCAGTTTGGGGGGTCCCAGTGGGGGTTAATCAGGGGTCTCAGTCTTGAGGGCAGTTTGGGGTCCCATGAGGGGGTAATTCGGGGTCTCGGAGCCCCTTTCCTTTAACCCCCCAGGTGTTGGACAATGGGGTGGGGTTGTTGGGGTTGGTTTGGGGTCCTGGGACAGTTTGGGGTCCCATGGGGGAATTAGGGTCTCAGAGCTCTCTTTCCTTCCCCCCTAGGTGGTGGACAGTGGGGTGGGGGTCTTGGGGGCTGTTTGGGGTCCCATAGGGGGTAATCTGGGGTCTCGGAGCCCCTTTCCTTTAACCCCCAGGTGCTGGACAATGGGGTGGGGTTGTTGGGGTTGGTTTGGGGTCCTGGGACAGTTTGGGGTCCCATGGGGGAATTAGGGTCTCAGAGCCCCCTTTCCTTCCCCTAGGTGGTGGACAGTGGGGTGGGGGTCTTGGGGGCTGTTTGGGGGTCCCATAGGGGGTAATCTGGGGTCTCAGAGCCCTCCTTTCCCTTTAACCCCCCTCCCAGGTGGTGGACAGTGGGGTGGGGTTGTTGGGGTTGGTTTGGGGGTCCTGGGGGCAGTTTGAGGGTCCCATGGGGGTAATTCGGGGTCTCAGGGCTCTTTTTTTCCTTTAATCCCCTCCCAGGTGGTGGACAGTGGGGTGGGGGTCTTGGGGGTAGTTTGGGGGTCCTGGGGCAGTTTGGGGTCCCATGGGGGGTAATTCAGGGCCCAGAGCCCCCTTTCCTTCCCCTTCCTCCAGGTGGTGGACAGTGGGATGGGGTCCCGGGGGCAGTTTGGGGTCCCGTGGGGGTTAATTTGGGGTCTCAGAGCCCCTTTCTCCTTCCCCCACCCCAGGTGGTGGACGGGTTCCTGGTGAAGCGACGAGGACCCCTGGGAATCGGCGTCGCGCACCTGGGGTGCTGGGGGCACCTCAGGAGGAGGTTCCAGGTAGGAGGGGGCACAGGGGGTGGGAGGGTGGGGAGGGGACATGGGGGGCACAGGAGGGTGGGGGAGACATGGGGGTGCACAGGGACATGGGAGGAGAGGGACATGGGGGCACAGAGGACATGGGGAGGGGGAGGGGACATTGGGGCACAGGGGTGGGGGGAATGGGGAGGGACATGGGGGCACAGGGGGTGGGGGGAATGGGAGGGACATGGGGGCACAGGGGGTGGGGAATGGGGAGGGACATGGGGGCACAGGGGGTGGGGAATGGGAGGGGACATGGGGGCACAGGGGGTGGGGGAATGGGGGAGGGACATGGGGGCACAGGGGGTGGGGGAATGGGAGGGGACATGGGGGGGCACAGGGACATGGGAGGGGTGGGAGGGGACATGGGGAGGGCACAGGGGTGGGAGGGTGGGAGGGACATGGGGAGGCACAGGGGGTGGGAGGGGTGGGGAGGGACATGGGGGCACAGGGGGTGGGAGGGTGGGGAGGGGACATGGGGGCACAGGGGGTGGGAGGGTGGGAGGGGACATGGGGGCACAGGACGTGGAGGGTTGAGGGGACATGGGGGGGCACAGGACGTGGGAGGGCTGGGAGGGACATGGGGGCACAGGGTCTTGGGGGGCATAGAGATGTGGGGGAACATGGGGGATCACAAGGATATGGGGGCACAGGGGTGTGGGGGACACACGAAGAGGCACTAGGACATGGGGGCTCAGAGACATGGGGGGACATGGGGGCCACAGGGATAAAGGGGGTCATGGGGGGCACAGGGATAAAGGGGGACATGGGGGGCACAGGGGTGGGGGAACCTGGGGGCACATAAGGGGTCTAGGACATGGGGGCTCAGAGACATGGGGGGACATGGAGGGGCCACAGGATAAAGGGGGTCATGGGGCACTAGGGATAAAGGGGGGTCATGAGGGCCACAGGGGGTGGGGGGACATGGGGGTTACAGGGATATAGGGGAGACATGGAGGGGTCACAGGGGGTGGGGGATCATGAGGGGTCACAGGGACATAGGGGGTCATGAGGGGCCACAGGGACATAGGGGAGACATGGGGGCACAAGGGGCCTCAGGGACATGGGGGTCACAGGGATATAGGGGGTCATAGGGGAGGCACAGGGTGTTGGGGGACATTAAAGCACAGGGGTGGGAGGAACTTGGGGGCACAGGAGGTGGGGGTCATGGGGGCACAGGGGTGGGGGAACCTGGGAGGCACAAGGGGCCTCAGGGACATGGGAGGTCACAGGACATAGGGGGTCATGGGGGGCACGGGGCGTTGGGGGACATTGGGGGGACATGAGGATGTGGGGGCACAGGGGTTTTAGGGGGCACAGAGATGTTGGGGCAACAGGGGTTTTGGGGGGGCACAGGACACGAGAGCAACAGGATGTGGGGGGCACAGGAGTTTTGGGGGCACAGAGATGTGGGGGCCACACTGGGGGGCACAGGGACATGGGGGGCACAGGGGTTTTGGGGGCACAGGATGGGTGGGGTCAGGGGAGGGACAGAGCAGAGGGGGGTGAGAGTTGAACGTGGGAGCAGCTATGGGCTGGAGGGGGCACAGAGGACACGTGGGGGTAATGCCAGTGAGGGTCACTGGGGGCTCTTTAACCCCTTTGTTCCCCACCTCCAGGACCGGGTGCTGAGGGCGTGGGGACGTGATCGCCTGGCCCCCTGACCTCCGGGACCCCTGCAGCCTCCTGCCCTTCCAGAGGCTGAGGGAGGAGGGGGCAAGAACCAGGTGGGCGGGGGGTAAAAGGGGGTCCTCAAAGTGGGAGGGGGCAAGAACCAGGTGGGGCGGGGGGGTAAAAGGGGGTCCTCAAAGTGGGAGGGGGAGGACAAAGGAGGGGCTGGGGGAGTAAAGGGGGTCCCCAAAGTGGGAGGGGGCAAGAACCAGGTGGGGCTGGGGGATTAAAGGGGGATCCCCAAAGTGGGAGCGGGAGGACAAAGGAGGGGCTGGGGGTAAAAGGGGGTCCCCAAAGTGGGAGGGGGAGGACAAAGGAGGGGCGGGGGGGAAAGGGTGGGATTGGGGGGGGGAAAGGATGTGTTCAAGGGCAGGGGTCTATTTATGGGGGTTGTGGATATTTTGGGACCCCCCCCCAACCTCTTTTTCCTCCCCCCAGATCCAAACAGTCCAGGATGTTTTTTGGGGGGTCTATTTTAGGGCTGTGGATATTTTGGGGTCCCCCTGACCCCCTTTTTTCCCCCCCTTTTCCAGGTCGAAACTGTCCAGGGTTTATTTAAGGGCTGTGGATATTTTGGGGTCCCCCCGACCCCCATTTTCCCCCCCTTTTCCAGGTCCAAACTGTCCAGGCCATGTTCAGGGGGGTGTATTTGGGGTGTGTGGATATTTTGGGGTCCCCCTTTTCCCCCCCCTTTTCCAGATCCAAACAGTCCAGGGTTTTTTTTGGGGGTTCTATTTAAGGGTTGTGGATATTTTGGGACCCCCCCCCAACCTCTTTTTCCTCCCCCCAGATCCAAACAGTCCAGGGGTTTTTTGGGGGGCTCTATTTAAGGCTTTTGGATATTTTGGGGTCTCCCTGATCCCCTTTTTCCCCCCCCTTTTCCAGGTCCAAACTGTCCAGGATTTATTTTGGGGTTTTGGATATTTTGGGGTCCCCCTGACCCCTTTTTTCCCCCCCTTTTCCAGGTCCAAACTGTCCAGGCCGTGTTCAGGGGGGTGTATTTGGGGTGTGTGGATATTTTGGGGTCCCCCTGACCCCTTTTCCCCCCCCTTTTCCAGGTCCAAACTGTCCAGGCCGTGTTCTCTCGGCAGCTGCTGCAGCTGGGGGGGCTCAGTGGGGGGAGGGCGGGCGCCGTCCTGAGCCGCTTCCCCACCCCTGCCAGGTCTGGGGGGGCCCTGGGGGGGAATTTTGGGGGGGTCTCTTGGTGGGAATTGGGGTCCCCCCTCTGGATTCACCCCCTCTCCCCAAAAAAGAGCCCTGCACTCCTCTGGTCTCCAATTTGAGTGGGGGTTGGGGGTGTTCTTGAGGAGGGGGGTCACTGAAGGTTTGGGGGTGTCTCTGAACCCCCTCCCCTTTCCCCTCCCCAGCCTCATGGACGCCCTCGTGGACCCCCAAAGTGCCAGGATGTGCTCAGTGCCCTGCGCTGCGGCCCCTCCCAGAGGTGAGACCCCCTCAAATTCCTGGGGACCCCCAAATTTCTGGGACTCCCCAAGTTTCTGGGGACCCTCTTAAAATTCCTGGGACCCCCCTCAAATTCCTGGGACCCCCCAAACTCCTGGGGACCCCCAAATTCATGGGACCCCCCCCTCAAATTCCTGGGGACCCCCAAACTCCTGGGACCCCCTCAAACTCGTGGGACCCCCAAATTCCTGGGACCCCAAACTCCTGAGGACCCCCAAAAACTCCTGAGACCCCCCTCAAATTCCTGGGACCCTCCTCAAATTCCTGGGACCTCCCAAACTCCTGGGGACCCCCCCAAACTCCTGGGGACCCCCAAATTCGTGGGACCCCCCCCTCAAATTCCTGGGGACCCCCAAAAACTCCTGGGACCCCCTCAAACTCCTGGGACCCCCCCTCAAATTCCTGAGGACCCCCAAAAACTCCTGAGGATCCCCCTCAAATTCCTGGGAACCCCCCCCACAAATTCCTGGGACTCCTGAGTTCTTGGGACCCCCCCAAATTCCTGGGTCCCTCCGAATTCCTGGGCACTTCCCAAATTCCTGGATCTTCCCAGATTCCTGAGTCCCCCCCACCGAGCCCTGGGGTCCCCCTGAACTGCTGGGGCTCCCCAAAATTCCTGGGTCTCCCCAAACTCTTGGGTCCCCCAATCTTGGGTCCCCCCCAGAACCCCCTGGTTCACCCCCAGGACCCCCAAGATTTTAGGGTGCTCAACCCCTCTCGACTCCCTAAGATTTTGGGGTGCTCACCCTCTCTCTCTGCCCTCCCCCCCCCACAGGAACCTGGGCCCCTCCCTCAGCAGGTCCCTCGTGCAGCTCTACGGGACCCCCGGGCCACTGCCCTGAGGGGACACCCCCTGTGCGTGTCCCCCCTGCTGCCATCACCTCATTGTCACTCCCTGTCACCCCATTGTCACCTCGTTGTCACTCTCTGTCACTTCATTGTCACCCCCTGTTACCTCGTTGTCACCCCTTGTCATTCTATTGTCACCCCCTGTCACTTCATTGTTACCCTCTGTCATCCCCTGTCACCCCGTTGTCACCCCCTGTCCATCCCATTGTCACCCTCTGCCGCCTCATTGTCACCCTCTGTCATCCCATGTCATCCTCTGTCACCCCCTGTCACCTCATTGTCACCCCCATCACTTCATTGTCACCCCCTGTCCCTTCATTGTTACCCTCTGTCATCTCCTGTCATCCCCTGTCACCTCATTGTCACCTCATTGTCACCCCCTGTCACCTCATTGTCAGCCCATGTCATCCCATTGTCACCCCCTGTCACTTCATTGTCATCCCCTGTCACCCCGTTGTCACCCCCTGTCCATCCCATTGTCACCCTCTGCCGCCTCATTGTCACTCTCTGTCATCCCGTGTCATCCTCTGTCACCCCCTGTTGTCCCATTGTCACCTCGTTGTCACCCCCCAATAAAGTCCATCCCCCAGTGGCTGCAGCACTGCCAGTTTTACTGGGGAGGGGGAGGTGACACTGAGGGGGAGGTGACACTGAGGGGGAGGTGACACTGAGGGGGAGGTGACAGGGGTGGCAGTGACACACACACAACCCGGCAGGTGACGGTGACAGGGAGGGGGTGACAGGGGTGGCAGCGGCAGCTGTGACAGGTGACAATGACACTGGTGAGGGTGACAGGGAGGGGGTGACAGAGGTGGCAGCAGCAGCTGTGACAGGTGACAATGACACTGGTGAGGGTGACAGGGAGAGGGTGACAGAGGTGGCAGCAGCAGCTGTGACAGGTGACAGTGACACTGGTGAGGGTGACAGGGAGGGGGTGACAGGGGTGGCAGCAGCAGCTGTGACAGGTGACAATGACACTGGTGAGGGTGACAGGGAGGGGGTGACAGGGGTGGCAGGTCAGCTCTTGGTGACACAGGTGACAGTGACAGGGAGAGGGTGACAGAGGTGGCAGTGGCAGCTGTGACAGATGACAGTGACAAGGTGAGGGTGACAGGGGTGGCAGTGGCAGGTGGTGATGACACAGGTGACATGAGTGACAGTGGCAGGGTGAGGGTGATGGGGGGCAGTGACAGGTGATGGTGACACCGGTGACAGTGACGTGGGGGGTGGTGACAGGGGGACAGTGACCAGTGCTGGTGACACAGGTGAGGGTGACACAGGTGAGGGTGACACCAGTGATGGGGACACTGGTGACAGGTGACACTGATGACAGGGGTGAGGACACCGGTGTGGGTTTGGGATTTGGGGAAGGTGAAGGGGGGTGGAGAGGGGCCACCCTGGAGGGGGGAGGATTTTGGGGGGCTGGGGCCAGATTTGGGATTTGGGATTTGGGGGACAGGACCGACCCTGGCCAGGTTTGGGGGATTTGAGGGGGTCGGGACCGACCCTGGCCGGGTTTGGGGGATTTGAGGGGGGTCGGGACCGACCCTGGCTGGGTTTGGGGGATTTGAGGGGTCGGGACCGACCCTGGCCAGGTTTGGGGGATTTGAGGGGGTCGGGACCGACCCTGGCCGGGTTTTAGCGTTGAGGGGGAGGGGAGGGGAGGGGGTGGGGAGGTCGAGCTTGAGTTTTGGGAGGGGGGGATGGGAGGGGGGTTCCAGGGCCGCCCTTGGCCGGGTTTGGGGTTTGGGGTGGTGGGGCCGCCCTCGATCGTGTCGGGGAGGGGGAGTTGGTGAGGGGAGAACAGCGGGTTTGAGATTTGGGATTTGGGGGAGGGCGGGGCCGCCTCGGCCCCTCCCCCGCCCCCATCCCGAGCAGGAGGAGGAGGAGGAGGAGGAGGTGGCAGCGCGATGCTGGTGGCGCTGGTGGCGCTGGTGGCCGTGGCTGGGGGCGGGGGGCGCGCGGGTGTCCCCCCGACCCCCCCGCCGTGTCCCCTGGGCTTCGTGCCGGTGGGCGCGGGCGGCTGCGGGGACAGGGACGAGTGTCGCACGGCCGCCGTGTGCCACCACATGTGCCTCAACCACCACGGCGGCTTCACCTGCCACTGTCACCGCGGCTACGTCCTGCAGCCCGACGGGGTCACCTGCCGGCCGCGACACCCCCAGCGCGGGGGGCTCCGCACCCCGCCCGGCACCCCCCCGCACCGCGCCCCGCACCCGCGGCGGGGATGGAGAGCCCGGGACGGGCCACGGGAGGTGGTGACAGCAACAGGAGGAGGAGGAGGGGACGATCCACGGAGCCCGGGCTGGCAGAGGGAACCGCGCCGGGATTTGCTCGACGAGGGATTTGCGCGCCGGGATCCGCGCGTGGACGATTCCCGCCAGGATTTGCCCGCGGGGAGGCGGCTCCGGGGCTCGCGTGGGGACCCGCAGAGGGATTCGCAGCGGGAGGATCCGGGGCCGGGCCGGCAGACGGGTCTGCGCGAGGATTCCCACGAGGATTCCCGTGAGGATTCCCACGAGGATTCCCCCCGCGGGACGCAGCGGGAGCCGCGGCCAGCGTGGCTCGGGGGCTCGCGTGGGGGATCGCACCGGGACGCGCCTCAGGATTCGGGACCCGACCGGCACCGGGGGCAGCACCGGGGGCTGCACCGGGATCTCCTCGGGAATTCCCACGAGGGTTTCCTCGAGGATTTGCACCGGGACAGCGGGCGGGGCTCGCGACCTCCCCATCCACGGGATTCGCCCCAGGATTCCCAGGAGGATTCCCAGGAGGATTCCCAGGAGGATTTGCACCAGGACAGCGATCGGGGCTCGCCCCGGGACTCCCACGGCCATTCCCGGGAGGATTTGCCCCAGGATTCCCACGAGGACTCGCCCCGCTCAGCTCCGGCTCCCCCCGCGTACGGTGAAGCCCCCCCCGCCCCCCACTACGAGGAGGAGGACCCCGACCCTTATGGGGACCCCTATGCAGACCTGGGGGACCCCGACAATTACGGGGGCCCCTATGGGGGGGAACCCCCCCCTTACAGGGGTGAAGACCCCGGAACAGAGCCCTGGGACCCCGACATTTATGGGGACCCCTATATGGACCCCTACGAGGATGAGGACCCTGAGGGGGGGCCCTGGGACCCTGCCCCGCCCCCCTCCCACCCCTACAGGGAGGGGGACCCCGAGCCCGGGAGCCTCCGGAGGGGCAGAGACCCCCAAACCCGGCCCTGGGACCCCTATGGGGACTTTGATGGGGACCCCTATGGGGGTGGGGACCCCCAGATGGACCCCAGGGACCCCCATACTGACCCCAGGGACCCCTATGGGGATGGGGACCCCCATACTGACCCCAGGGACCCCTATGGGGATGGGGACCCCCATACTGACCCCAGGGACCCCTATAGACTTGGGGACCCCCAGATCGAGCCCAGGGACCCCTATGGGGATGGGGACCCCCATACTGACCCCAGGGACCCCTATAGACTTGGGGACCCCCAGATTGACCCCAGGGACTCCCATAGGACCTGGGACCCCCAGATTGACCCCAGGGACCCCTATGGGGGTGGGGACCCCCAGATCGAGCCCAGGGACTCCCATAGGACCTGGGCCCCCCAGATTGACCCCAGGGACTCCCATAGGACCTGGGACCCCCAGATCGAGCCCAGGGACGCCCAAACCAGGCCCTGGGACCCCTATGGGGACCTCTATAGTGACGAGGACCCCCAAAATGACCCCAGGGACCCCTACGGAGCCCCAGAGCCCCGGGCTGAGCCCTGGGACCCCCCTAGGACTTGGGACCCCCAGACTGACCCCAGGGGTCCCCACAGAGCCAGCCCTCCCCCCAGACCCCACAGGAACCCCCAAACCACCCCCTTCATGCCCCTTCGTCCCCCCCCGAGGGTCAGAGACCCCCTAACTGCCCCCCCACTTGTTAACCCCCCTAAATCCCAGTTGCCCCCGTTAGCCCCCCAACTGCTCCCCCAATCCCAGAGCCCCCAGCACGTCCCAGTTACCTCCCAATGAGCCCTCCAGTTGCTCCCCCAGAGCCAGGGACCCCCAGTTGCCCCCAGCTGTCCCAGTTACCCCCAGTTGCCTCCCCAGGGTCAAGGACCCCACAACAGCCCCCAACCGCCCCCTAAATCCCAGTTGCCCCCAGTTGCCCTCTGCAACTGCCCTCCCTAATCCCAGAACCCCCAGCACATCCCAGTTGCTCTCCCAGTCACTCCCCCAGTCCCCCTCCCCAGGGTCAAGGTCCTCCCAGTTACCCCCTAAATCCCAGTTGCCCCCAGTTGTCCCCCCAACTGCCCTTCTCACATCCAGAGCCCCCAGTTTGTCCCAGTTACCCCCAGCTGCCCCCTCGAAAGCCAAGGACTCTCCAGTTCCCCCCAGTTCCCCCAGTAAGAGCCAAAGCCACTGCACTTGCCCCAGTTACCCCCCAGATTCCCCCCTAGAGCCAAGAACCCCCCAGTTACCCCAGTTAGTCCCCCAGTTGCCCCCTCCAGAGCCAAGATCCCCCCAGTTACACCCCCAGTTGCCCCAGTTACCCCTCCAGTTGCCCCTCCCAGAGCCAAAGCCCTCCCAGTTGCCCCAGTTACCCCTCCAGTTGCCCCCCCCCGAGTCAGGACCCCCCCAGTTGCCCCAGTTGCCCCGGGGTCCCTGCGGGTGGGGTTGGTGTTTGCTCTGCCAGTGGCACTGGGGGGTCTACTGGTCATACTGGGAGCACTGGGGGGGCTGGGGAGGCCCCCCCGGCCGCCCCTCCCGAGCCCCGGTGGGTAAAGGGGGCGGGGGGGGAACTGGGAGGGACCCCCCAAACTGGGAAAGGACCCCCCAAACTGGGAAAGGACCTCCCAGATTGGGAAAGGACCCCCCCAAACTGGAGGGCAAGACTCAAACTGGGAGAGGGGGGGGTGTCCTGTGTCCCCCTCCCCCAAAAACTTCAGGGGTCCCCCCATTCCACACTGCCCCCTCCCCAAAATGAGGAAAGGACCCCAGAATGGGAAAGGACCCAAAATCTGGGCCTGAGACCCCTCCCAAACTGGGAAAGCCCCCACCAAACTGGGATTGCCCTCCCAAACTGGGATTGTCCCCCAAACTGGGATTGTCCCCCCTCCTCCTGCCCACACTGTCCCCCCCCGAGTGGGGGAGGGGCGGGGGGCGAGGGCAATAAAGGGCCGGTGCTGACCCTCCCCCCGCTGAGTCCCTTTTTTTGGGGGGGAGGACCCCTGAGCCCGGTTTGGGCTCGGGGGTCTTTACTGGGGGAGGGGAGCGTTGCTGGCCCCTCCGGGCTCCCTCCCCTCCCCGTCCAGCTGTTGAGAGGATCCAGCTGTGGGGGTGGGGAGGGCGCGGCCGGTGAGTCACGATCGTGCTCCGACATTGGGGTCCCTGGGGGAGGGGCAGGGGTGGGGACGGGGAACGCCCGGACTCGGGGGTCCCATGGGGGAGGGGGGGCGTGACGTCATGGTCCGGGAGGGGGAGGGGCTGGCAGAGCCCCAGTGCAGCTCCGGGACCAGCCCAGTTCCCACCAGTACGGGCTGGGCAGGACCAGTTCTCACTGGTGACCTCGTCCCATCCCAGTTCCCACTGGTGTCCTGATC